CAAGGTGATCCCGAGGAATATTACATTAAGCAGGATAGGATAGGTGAGATTTTTTTTCTTGTAAAATCGGTCTAATACAAACTATCTATTTGGAGTTCTTTAAGTAAAAAAATGATAATGCTCGGTTCCAACAAATGACTTTTAAAATTTCATATTATTATACAGGAAAGGGATCTTTTGGCGAGGTTTTCAAAGGGTAGGTTTTCTTTTTCTTTATTTTTTTTCCTAAAGAACTTCCATCCATTCTTCAATGAAAGTACGCGTAGTCGTACTTCACTCTAAAAATTGAAGAAGTATACGGATATACGCGTGATTTCTTGAACGATTGGTATAACAAACATAAATTGGATGGGGGAACGCTAATGATCTCAGCAATCGGCAGCTTCAAAGGCAATTTAAACTAGAAAATTGATTGGTTTTTTTTTTGGGGGTGACGCTTTATTGTCGATCGCCGAACAACCAGCTATGATAAGAAATCAAAAACACCAGTGGCCATCAAAATTATCGATCTCGAAAGCGCCGAAGATGAGATCGAGGATATTCAACAAGAAATAGCCATTCTATCACAATTGGATTCTCAGTATGTCACGAGGTAACTTAAGAACCAATCCTTTAATCTTGGATGATTGACACCTCATACATTATATTTGTCATTTATAACTAATTTCTTTAAAGATATTATCGTTCATTTCTCAAGGGGACTTATTTGTGGATTATCATGGAATATTGCTCAGGCGGGTCTTGCTTGGATTTAGTATGTATGCCAAAATTTTTATCATCCTTGATTGTAATTTTATCTCACGGTTCATTTATTTATTTGAATAGATGAAACCTGGAGTCTTCAAAGAAGAATACATAGCGATCATATTGAGGGAATTACTTAAAGGCTTGGACTATCTTCATTCGGAGAATAAACTTCACAGAGGTTGGTGTTTGATTGGCTTTTTGAATTCTCGTTTTTTCTTGTGATTACTAACATGATGTGAATGGATTTATAAAATTTAAGACATAAAAGGTTAGGATTACCATGATTCACTTTTGTTGAATTAATGTTCGAGATTTTGATGGGGATCTGACGTTAACTTAAATAATATTCAAGCTGCAAATGTTCTTTTGAGTTCCACGGGTGATGGTACGTAGCAATTTACATGATGGTTAAGGTTGTCGAGAAGGTTTCTTTTTTTTCGCCATGAGGTGACCTTTTTTTTTCTTGCATTTGAACCGCAGTAAAGTTGGCGGATTTTGGAGTGTCAGGACAGGTTCGTAAAGGTTGGTAACCTGTCGATCTACATAACGCGTTACTAATAAATTTATTGTAGATCACGGCAACCATGAGAAAGAAGAGTACTTTTGTTGGAACACCGGTATGACCCATTACTTTCTGGGAGAGAAACTGAGATTTCTATTTTCGGTTCTTTCACGTTTCTTCAATTAGAAATTTTTACCTAACATTGAACATACGATCTCACCATTTTTTTTTTTCATGACGGTCAGTTTTGGATGGCACCTGAAGTCATCGAACAGGCGGGATACGACTTTAAGGCGAGTGTTGAGAAACTTTATTTCTGTAGTTATTGAGTCTTTGATCAGGGATACTGATAATTTTTTTTTCATTGTTATCATTTTAGGCGGATATTTGGTCCTTGGGAATAACCGCTATCGAACTTGCGAAGGGCGAACCTCCGTATGCCGATCTTCATCCAATGAAAGTTCTTTTTCTCATTCCCAAAACTTCAGCACCTACACTGGAGGGTCAGTTCTCGAGGGCATTCAAGGAATTTATTTCGCTGTGCTTAGAGAAAGACCCTAATAATGTATGTATGTCCATTTCACACTACTAGTTATATCCGAATATTTTCTCACTATATGCGTGAAAATTCATCCAGAGACCATCAGCGCGAGAATTGCTCAAGCATAAATTTATTCGTAGTGCAAAGAAAACCTCTTATTTAACAGATATAATTGAACGATACGAAAGATGGTTGGCTGAGGGTGGTGGGAAGAATGATTCAGACGATTCAGATCATTCAGAGAACGGGTAAGTCGGATTTTTGATTTGGTCGCATCTTTTAGTGGACTGAGCTTAGCTTCTATTCACTTAATTTAGTGCCGAGTACAACGAAGTCACAACATGGGAATTCCCAAGGCAAATCACTCCAACTTCGTCTGACGATGAATATTCAGATGATAATGCCACAATTGGACCCGCAAAGGGGAAACAAACAATGGTGCTTATGATGTGAATTTTGACTACCTGTTCTAACATATCGTCATCTGCCACCTTTTAATTCGTCATATATTTTAATGAAAATCAGGCGATGAAAACTAATGATTCCGGTTATGAAACAATCAAGCATGTAAATTCAGTCAGAGTAGATAATTACGAAGACCCTTATTCGGATCATACTGAACTATTGGTGACTGGCCCAGCCGTTTTTAAAAAAGTCATTGTTCCTTCTATTGAAAAGGTATGTGACAATATGTCGCTATTTATTTATTAGGATTTTGATGTTTAAATTTTCCAATTTCTTAGTTGAAAAAGAAAGCACCTTCCCCAAAAGCCCAGTTTACTTTGGACGCTTTGAAAAGGGCCTTCGAGGATTGCGAAAGGGAAAATCCGGGAATATCCGAACAAGTTATGCATGCGGTACTCAATAGATATGATGAGGTGAATCCTTGAAAGGTCTTTACCGTCTGAAATGAATATCATCTGTAATCCTTTTTTCTTGTATTCAAATTTATCACTGTACAAATCTTTTTTATTGATACCGCAAATTCATTTTTTTTTTTTTACCTTTTCCACATCTTTTAAAAGAATATTTTTTTAATCGATCATATACATTATTTGCTTAGACATTTGAACATATTTATGTAGTTTATATATTCTTAGCTGGAAAAGATGATGTACGATAGTAAAACATGAATGTCACCTTGTATATAGATAACTTTTTTTAATTTTATTGTAATGCCAAGATAACTTCGTGCTCTCAACATAATCAATAATAATTGCATCGTATTAAATTAATTTTTTCTTGTATTCTCACAATTTCAATTCTTTCCTTCACAAAATGCTATATCTCCGATATTTACATTAGCGTTAAAATTCTTTACTTGCTAAAAATTTCTTTATATAAGAGTGCCTCTGATTATTATTATTACTAGTTTGCAAAGCTCAAACAGTTCTGACTATATATATCATCATCTAATATTGAAGTCAAATCAAACAAACACATATTCTCAGAAAGGGCAATCTGTTATGTTGATTGTCAAATATCTTGACTCGTTTTTTTAGAGTTTGACCATTCAAAAATTTAAATGAAACAAATATTCACACCCCTAGATTCAGTAACAAATTAGAACCTCCTTGTTGACCACCACCAGGCACATATGTCACATTTCGTGAACTTGATAATGTTCCAACGATCTCTTTAGATGCTTCTATACGACGCAATAATACAAGACCTTCGCCAGCCTTGTCGAGTGCTTTAGATATTCTATCTGCAGCTTCAGCTTCTCCTTCAGCTCTGATAACTGCGGCTTGCTTCTCTTGCTCAGCCTAATTTTCACGTGTGATAAATAAGTAAATATTTATCTCTAAAAAAATAATAATGCGTAAACGATCGGTGCATAGATGTACCTTTTCCACAATGAATTTTGCTCGTTCCGCCTCTTGCTGAGCAATTTGCTTCTGTTCAACAGCATTTGTGAATTCTTTGCCGAAAGTCATATGTGTCTATTATTGATAAAGCGCTGTATTCATTGAGTCTTTTTATTTTAAGCAAAGTAAATAATAATTGATATTTACGATCGACACATCTTCCAATTCAATGTTAAACTCGTGAGCCCTCTTCACGAGGTCCTCCCGTATCTTTGAGGAAACCTAACAGATCAAACAACGAAACATATATGAACCTCGGAAACACGTAATAAAATATATTACTCGCAAAAAACTTGCGTACCACTTCACGTTGAGTGATTAATTCGCCGGCATCAAATTGTGCAACAACTGATTTTAATACTTCATTACCGATGGATGGTAGGACTCTTTCATCATAATCCTCCCCCAGGGTTTGATAGATATGCGGCAATTGTTCAAGCACTGGCCGGTGAAGCACACGTAATGTCAGGCTAACCATTTGCATATCTTTCGATCCGGTCGTCGTCGATATATTTCGGGGCTTGATACGAACATCATATAACACAACCTTTTGCAACCAAGGTATACGGAAATGTGTACCCTCTCCAATCGACGTCTTCTTGACACCTTTTAAACGATCAAATACCACGGCACGAAAGCCACCCTGTACTATATCACGTAACGTCATGGGTAATTGCCGAAGTTGACTAATTAAGGTGTTCTCTTTTTTTCTTTTTAGGAAAACTTGAGCCCTTACCATCATACATGCTATATTGAAGACCAGTGGCAGCCACGCCAAGCGGAACGGCGATTTTGGCGATCTTATCAAGAATGGCGGCCATGATGTTAAATTAACGTCTGCGTAAAAAAAACGTCTATTTACATTTTTTTAGCGATAATCTAAACTAATCTGACCAATCATTGTGTCTTTTATTAAAGGGTTACAGTATATAGTTTTATTAAAAATAAACTAATATAGGTTAATATTAAAATAAAAAAATTAAGAAATTATCGTTTATAGCAAAAAAATTAATAGTTTTTAATTTCAAATATTTAAAAATCAAAAATTTTTGTTTTTACTATATAAATAAATAAACTTTGACAATAGGTAAAAAATAAAATGTATATAATTCATTGAAAGAAATAGATTTAAACTACAAAAAATCAATTGAATGTAAAAAAATAATAATAAAATTTGTAAATTACAATTATAATGCACCCAGATAAAATAAGCGATAAACTCCATTGGAAACGCACAAAAAATGAACACTGTTAAGTTATTAAGAATTAAAAGTTGTTCAGTTTTATAATTCTATCTCTAGCCACTATTCTACTCATACTCATCGTATCGACTTAATAAGTTGAATTAGTCAAAAAGCGAAAATTTGAGTAATATACAAAGAAGTTTTTGGTTATACTTATCCATTGTACACATGTTATTAATAAATTTCATAATTAAATGTGAAACATAGGTATTTAACATATATAACAATAATATACAACAATTCGATTAGAAAGCGGGTGTTCATTTTATTGAAATATTGTCTCTTCATGCTTTCTTTTAGAAACGTAAGTTCCAGGCTTGGCCATTGCGTTGGGATGCGACGCTAATTCAGGCGGAACGCGTGATATCGGAGATTTCAATATCATTTGTTTCAAATCATACCTAATTTGATGACACCATTAGCATAAATAAAGATCAAATGTTTTATTAGTAAAGTCTTGAGTCTTACATGATATCCGCATCCGCGTTAGATAGAAAAGATATGGAGACACCAGATTGACCAGCACGTCCAGTACGACCGATGCGGTGAGTATAATCTAAATGATAAAAAAGTTAGGTAGTTATCTTTACAAAATGGAATGGATAAGCATCAATGCGAACCTTCAATATTTTTAGCCATATCGTAATTAATGACTAGTGAAACATTTTTAACGTCGATACCACGACCAGCAACATCGGTAGCCACTATACCAACATAAATCAAAGTTAGGAAGAATTCAATTCAGCTTATTAAAAATTAATCTCATACCTAATATATCCATAGTGCCATTCTTTAGATGCGCCAAAGCACTCTCTCTTTAATTATAATAATTAAGTTATTATTTGAATATTGTTTTTGTATAAAATGATATATTCGTAACTAACCTCTGTTCCTGCGTCTTACCACCGTGGAGGGTCGTCGCACGGTACTGCATAATGTATAATGGTTAATACATATTTGATTAGAAGTTACAAATTTTGCTTGATATAATACCCCTAGTTTGTTTAGAGCTCGAGCCAAAACATCACAGCCTTTCTTCTGATTGACGAAAATTATAATCGGTGGATCAAAGGAACCTTGAAGAATTTCTAATAGACGTGCTCTAATATAACGTAATTGAGTAAGTTAACTAGTTAACATAAGAGCCATATTAAGAAAACTTTACGAACTTCTTTTTGCTTTCATCATTAATCATCTCCACCCGTTGTTCTACAGTGTCCACGGCCTGACCGGCTGTACCTATTGTAACAACTGCAGGTCGCCGTAAATACCTATAATTCAAATATCGGTTAGATCAAATACTCGAAGCCACGTTCATGATATTAGAAACATTAGAAAATCACCTCTTTGCCAGCCTTTCAACGGCAGCAGGCATAGTAGCTGAAAACATGACCGTTTGTCTGTAACGTTCTTTCTGTCCAATTTTCTTTAACATTTCTGCAGGGTTTTCAGCCTCTTCGGTATCAGGCTTTACGTTAGATACCGGTAATGCATCCAATATCAAATTAACATCGGCTTCAAATCCCATATCTATCATACGATCAGCCTATTAAACGAAGATAATTGGAGGAGATTCTTATGTCGGTGTTATATCACGGAAATTGTCATAATACAAACCTCGTCCATAACCACATAAGTACATTGATTAAGAACCAATATTCTCCGATCCAAGCAATCTTTTAAACGACCTGGAGTAGCGATAATAATCTCAGCGCCATTCCTTAGGTTAAAAGCTTGCTCTTCAACTGCATGCTACGAACAAAAATTTGTTACAAAATGAATAATTATTAAAAAATATGAATCCATAAGAAATGGCATTCTTACCCCACCAACAATGGATACACAGTTGAATCCCATTGGAGCAGCAAATTTTAATGTTTCTTGTTCAATTTGCTGAGCCAGTTCGCGAGTTGGAGCCAAAATGAGGGCGTAAGGACCATCCGACATATTTTCTTCACATAATTTTGGTAGATCGGAAATATAAACAAGCATCGGTATTACAAATGATGCAGTCTTACCACTACCTACGATATATGAATAAACATAAGTGACGATCAATAAAAATATGAATGCTAATTAGTTAAATCTAGTCTTTACCTGTCTCAGCAATACCGATAATATCCCTATTTTGTAATCCTATGGGTATTGCTTGGCGTTGTATAGGCGTCGGTTCTTTATAACCAATGCTCTCGATTAATTTTAGAATACGTTCAGACAAGCCAGATTCTGCCCACGATCTTATAGGATTTGGAATACTGCCACCTATTATTTTGAAAATTACGAATGTGATTAGAAAACCTTCGTTGATCTAAAAAAAAAAATACCTTTCTTACCCTTTGTGGTAATATTGAAATCTTCCTTGAAAATACGCCAATCTCTTTCTTTCATTTCTGATAAAGGTTTTTCCGACCAATGACGATCGTCCCACATACTCTTTAATTCTTTCTTGCGGTCAATTTCCATTCTTTCCCTAAATTTACGGATAAACGCATCAAATATATGTTATTAACCATTAACAACATATACATCTTTGATTAATTACTCTGCGCGATCTTTTTGATCCAGCGTTCTTCTTTCTTCTAAAAGTTGATTATAAAATTGTGCGCGATCGCGTTTCTGCTCTTTAATATCTATTCCAGCAAAATGTCCACGCCCGAACATCTGAGCATTGTGTTTACTTGCATATAGTGGATTAAAATCTTGAGATGTATCCTCTCCGGCATCCCAATCGAATACAAATTTCTTTTCGTTCATTTTACGTATTTTACGTTTTTTGCGTTCCCCACCCATATAACGTTCCTAAATTAATTTAATTCTATATGTTACTGTCCATAAATCAAACATTAACCAATATTTATT